AGATTTGGATGTTCTTTCCTTTGGGTAATACATTCGCGAGCATTTTGCTTGTCAGTTAGTGATACTTTGTGTTCTTTGGGTTATCTTTCGTAAGTTGTTTGGCATTTTGTCTACAATCTTTAATAGTTAAACTTTATCATTGAGTTTACTTGATGATATACTTGCTATTGAATTTTGTTTGATGGTGAATCCTATATTTACCACTTATGATGATCTTGGTGGTTCCTACACTCTTATACTGGTTTATCGGGTTATAACTTGCTTGGAATACTTTTATGTTCTAATCTAAGATATATTCACTGATAATTAAGTTTCTAAAATATCATTGTTTATGACTTTGATATTGTCCATCTATTGATCTTTGAGTTTGGGCCAGTATAGGCAGACTGGCTTCGGCACTTTGTGTGCATGTTGAAATCTCTAGTCATGGGGTAGCTACTGTCGACTAGTCACATAACCCGCCTCTCTGTCGATGTTTCCTATTCCGTTCGAAAGGGCGTGACCGTGTAAACAACTCTAACTGCCTGTTTACAGTAGTCTATCTAAACCTTACCGACGGGTTTGGTTTCTTTGCTCAGGAGGGTTGGGGCCTCTGGCTTCTCTCTATATGTCTCTGCGGGCAGGGCATATCACACTTTTGTAAGCTGGGTGACTCCCAGAGCAGCAAGGGTGGCTGACTCCGTTAGTCATTTCTTTGTCGGCGACGGCCGGAAGGTGTCTGAGATAGTAGTGCATCCGCGTTAGACAAAGAGGTTGCCTCCTAACTCATTTAAGTTGGTGCATTTCTCACATAGTGTGAGTACCGTGAACTTTTTTTGGAGTTGTTTCCTTGGCGGTATTCTAGACTCGAGTATGCATCAACGAGGACGTCGATCTTCCCTAGGGGGGGAGAGTGTCGCGAATGTGACTTCGGGTATCGAAAGTTACCTGTCGACCAGTCCTTACGGACACTCTTACCTTACTGCCACGATGGCAAGAGGTCGGTATTGCTGGACCCTTTATCAGTCCCTCTTGTTCAAGTGTTAGTAAACTGGACTTTGCATCTGTACTTGGCCGGATGAGCATAAGGAAGGAATTCCTAAGTGTCTATTCAGCCAAGCATACTTGGCCTGGTTTTTTAGTTCTCTTTTACTCTGTCTTGCACTGGCTTGACAAGAACCCTCGCGTATTGAGATTGGTCCCTCAATATCACTGGATGATAGCTTACCGTGTTTGCCAAACACCCTCGCTATCATGCCCTTTGTGTTAGTCTCATTTTGGTCCCAAATGTTATTTATGGAAAGTGTCCAGATTTGCTCATTTAGCATATCTACGGAATGTAGAGATCGTCCTAAACACAATGGTGTTCGTCCCATGTCCAAATTCGCAATCTAGGGACATTCCATATTTAGTAAGTTTCGAGCTTGTCCCAGAGACTAACTCCTGATACTAAGGGAGGCTTGGGGTGAAAGCCCAAAGCGTGTGTGGGGATGTGGGGGGTTCCAAATGTATAGTAGGGATAGTGGGTAGGTCGGGCATGGCCGACCAACCTGAGGCATAGTCTAGCTCCCGCTTGCGTGCCTGTCCTTGTTCTGCGTCCGGCTTGGGTCTAAGCCCAAGTTCCATTCCATGTTAGTTGGTGGAGTACCCATATCCTCGCGTTAGGCCACCGGTATGCCGAAATAGCGCCAGACTCCGTTTGGCTCCGTTTTGTGTGCTGGTCCTGGCATTGGGATGCTGGTTGCTCCAGGACTGTTCCAAGTCACTCCGGGCTCCTGTCCCTTTGCTCCTTGGGCTTTATGCTCGGGAGTTGCTCCGTGGAACGGTTCCGTCACTCCTTGGCTTCGTGCTTGGGAGTTTGGCACCGTTCCTTCGTTCAGTGGCCCAAGGCCCTGAACTTCGGGTTCCTATGGACACGTGGCATGGACACGTGGCATGTGACACGTGGCACAAAGAGGGTTTAGGTTCCGCTTCGTGGTGTTATCCTATGGTAAATCACCATAGGATAAAGGGTCAAAACCACGTGCACTACAATCACCCAAAGAGATCAAGATTTTATGTGCAAACATCAAGGAGATGTTGGAGAAGGGTGTTATTCAAAAGTCACGAAGTCCTTGAGCATGTGAACCTCATCTTGTGATAAAACCTAATGAGATTATTCATTTTTGTATTGACTATTGTCCGTTAAATGAAGTGACAATCCCAATTGTGTACCCTCTTCCTCACATTGCTGATATCTTGGATTGTCTGGGGTGAAGTCGTTAGTTTACCAAGCTAAATCTTGCTTTTGGGTATTGGCAAGTATCAATGGTCAAAAAAGATATTCCTAAGATTGTTTTTCGTACATTGTTTGGTTTGTATGAATTTTTGTTGATGCCGTTTGGTTTGAATAATGCTTTAGCAACTTTCCAACGGATGATGGACAAGGTTTTTTGTAATATGCTACAGGTGACTGCTGACTTCATTGATGATGTCTTGATTCACTCAAAGGGGATGTAGGAGGAGCACGTTCGTGATGTTTGTAAAGTGTTAGATTAGCTATGGCATGTTGGTTTAAAGCTGAAACAGTCAAAGTGTGTGTTTGGGTCCAAGGACACAACTTATCTTGTGTACCATATTTCTCATGAGGGTTTGCAAGTTGATCTTAATAAACTTGTGGCTGTTCTAAAGTTCCCTACTTCAAAGTGTGTGAATGATGTGCAACACTTTTTAGGCAAAGTGCAGTATCTCAGTCATTTTATGGATCATCTTTCTGATCACACTACACCATTGCGAGTGTTGCTGAAGTCATCAACATCATATTTCATTTGGTCTCCGAATTGTGAGTGGGCGTTCGTGGATCTCAAAGAGCTCTTGATGACTCCTTCGGTTTTGCCATATCTTGACTACACTCGACTTTTTATTTTGCGTATGGATGCTTCCGATATTGGTCTTGGATGTGTGTTGATGCAAAAGAGCCCGAGTGTGCTTGGTTAGCACCATCCTATTACATATCTAAGGTATATATTACAATTAGCGGAGGTGAATTACTCCACAACAAAGAAGGAGTGTTTAGTAGCAGTCTAGGGTTTCAAAAAACTTCATGCATATCTACATGGTTCTCAGACATTACTTGAAGGTGATCATGCTGCTGTTACTTTATTATTAAAGCAAAAGAACCTGGTTGGTCGTATTGGTCAGTGGGCTTTGAAGCTTCAAATATATGATTTTGATGTTGTTCATCGCCTAGGGAGTTTTATGGTTGATGCTAATGCCCTTTCTCGAACTCCTCTTCCTTCTCCACTCTTTTCTCATATTCCTGACGAGCTTATTATTTTGGCATCTATGGATTTTCTAAATGAGGATTCTATACCACCGATGGTTGTTGTACTTGACATTCAGTGTCTATAAGGTGCAGAGCAAGATCTACCTTCTCTTGATGAGGTTCACAAGGCTCAAAAGCTTGAGCCATGGATTTGAAGGCTTCGAGATGGGTTTGAGAATCCTACATCATTTATTGATCACTTGCCATTCTGGCATTTACATTTCTAGTATCGCCTTGAAGACGGCCTTCTTTATTTTATGGGGACAGATCTTAATGATTATTTATGGCTAGTGGTGCCTTTGAGTTAGTGGCATTTGATCTTATGGGACCTTTTCCACGATCTACTGCTAGCAATGAATATATTATTATTGTTTTTGACTATTTGACTTATTAGGTGGAAGTTGGTACTCTTGTTAGTGCCTTTGCAACTACTGTTGGATACTTTCTCCTTAATCGAGTGGTGTTCTAGCATTTTTTTTCTGAAGCGAATTCTTTTGGATAATAGTCCTACATTTATAGCTGAGGCATTTCATGTTTTAATGTCTCGGTTGGGGATATGCCACACTTTCATGAGTGCTTATCATTCACATTCAAACAGTTTGGTGGAATAGCTTATTCGGACATTCAAAGGAATGATCGTGAAGTACGTGAACTTTCAGCATTCAAATTATGATGGTTATTTGCTATCTCTTCGATATGCATATATCATAGGGGTGCAAAGTTCTATTGGTGCTTCACCATATAAATTTTTTTATGGTCATGATCCAATATTACCAACAGAGCTGGGTTTACCTTTGCAATTGCCACAAGTTACTGATGTTAGGTTGTGGGATTAGTATTTGACGAGCATTCTTCCACTTATCCGAGCAAAGTCTGCCGAACATTTAAACTGCGTACAAGTGGGACAACAATAACACTACAACTCCCATCATCATCCACTTGCAGAGTACAAAATGGATGACTTGGTGTTAATTCATTTTTCCCATCTTACGGTATGTGGTTTATCTAAGGGGCTCTTTATTTAGTGGGAAGGACTATATCAGGTGTTGCAGCAAGTTAAACCACAAGTTTATGAAGTTCAGCATAATGTTTAGCAAACTGATCCTCCAAAAATTATGCATGTGTAGCAATTGAAACACTTCATACAAAGGGATTGGGAACAATTAAAACCACCTACAGATTTACTAATGCCTCCTCCTAACGTTCCTCCAAATCTTGGCTCATCTGTAAAAGAACTCGAATGGTTTTCCATTATTTCGAGAGGAGGGGATGATATGAAGTCCAAGTGTATGGTTACGATACTATATACTAATATTAATGTAATGGGATTTTGGTAGTCAGATTGATTTCAATCTAAACCATTCGCTCCTGTATATATATTATGGTTTTTGGGCTAATTAATATGCACATTTTCTATATTCCCTTTCCATATTTCAAACACTCACATATTGATATCAGATATGCAATTTATAAAATTAAGCAACTTTGCATGCTTAGAAGTTAGTCTAGAATAAAGAGTTACTCTCAACCTTTGAGCCACCTTGCCTGTGGAGGCTGATATGAAATTCCTCTTGGAGCACATTTAAAAAGAAGCGCCACATTCTTGTGAATGCTGCCAGTTCCTCTATTAAGGAGTTAGAAAGTGCTTGCAAATGCTGAAGGATATAATGGCCGGGTCGCTAATTAGTAAAGTAAGTAATACCTTTTTATGTTCTAGCCCTAAAGTCTGGAAGCAATCGTTCTTCTTGGAATGCGCTTTGCGCCTACGAATTCCCGGGCGCTGGAATGGCGAGTGATGAGAGTAAGAATGGATCGAAGCTAGATCCATCGCTAATCACTTTCTCTCGCTTCGGCATTTGTGATTTTCTTGGCAGATCTCCATGGAGCGCAAGGCATCAGCGAGCTCTGCCAGCGCCTAGGCCCCGGGTGGACGTGCCAGGGCAGCGAGACCTCCACTGGCTTCTTCGTGGAGCTCCTCAAGTCCAACGCCACGCCAGTAGTCCCGCGATCCACTCCAAGGCACTGCCCCAGCCTCCTCCTCGCCCAGGAGGAGCAAAGGTGGAGATTTGGCACTCGAGCCTTTGCCTATTGCCTGGGACTGGCCTATTGCTTCCTGGGACTGGCAGTGATCACTCGCGTCTACATGAGAGCTCTGGATTCCATCGTTCGCCACAGCAGGAAATCGGTCCACAGGGATCCCATCACTGGGCTTAGAATTTTCAGCGAGAGGAGGATCTGGAATCCCACCGTCGCGGACATCACGCTCCTCGCGCTGGGAACTTGTGCTCCACAGGTCTCGCTCGCGGTGATTGATGCCTGCCAACACATTGGACAAACTTCTGGCAGTTATACTCCTTTTTCTTTCTTCTTTTTTCTCTTTTGTTGTTCTTGGATTTGTATTCTTCTCTTTTGTCATCTTTGCATTGATGGAGCTTCGTTTTCCTCGGATGTTTGCAGAGCTTGGAGCTGGAACGCTGCTCGGATCGACGGCATTTAACTTGTTCTTGATACTCGCGGTTTGCGTCGTGGCTCCCAAACGCTTCCAGACCAAGTCGATAAGGAACGTTGGAGTTTATATCATCGAAGTTGTTTGGTCTTTCTGGGCTTACGTCTGGCTCTTTTTGATCTTGGAGGTAAACTTTCTCATCATCCTTTCGAGTTTTCTTCCTTGATTTTTCTTGTTGACGATTCTTTAGATCTGGACTCCCAACGAGATCACTCTCTGGGAAGCAGTCTTGACAGTGGCACAGTTTCCACTTCTGGTTCTTCACGCTTACGTCCAAGACAGGAACTGGAAATATTTGTCAATACCACTGAGAGAGTCGGACGCTATCGAAAGCTCGGACATGAACAACTTACATGAGCTCGCCAACGTTTCTCGGAGCTCCAAGTTCGCGGCCATGAGGTGAGTCTCGGACGCATCCCTTGTTGTAAGGCTATGGCAAATCACTTCTTGTTGTAAGTAGGACCTGGAGAGGCATTATGATGAGTCTTATGGCAGATATATCGAAGGCTCCGAGTCGTCAGCTGCGAAGGCAGCGGTCTTGCATTTCACTGATGGCAGCGCGGATGTTTTCGGTAAGAGAGTTGGTTGCCACTCGGCCTCATAATTTTCGTTTGTTCTTTTCGAGCCGAGCAGAAGACGTTGATACGAGCAGCAGAGACAACTTCGCGTTTCTGAGAGAGGGAGCCGAAACCGAGCATTTCTCTTGGAAAGCTCTGGGTACCGCGTGGAAGAACCAGTTTTACGATGCCATGACCGTAAGCTTCTTCGGTTCCCTCGACTTTTTTGCTGAACTTTGTTTTCGATGTCAGGTAGCTAGCATCGAAGAGGGTCGTGGTCAAAGGAAGCGCACTCCCTCGACGCTCCAGTTGCTACTCCATCCCATTGTCTCTTACTGGAAAGTCAGCTTTGCTTTCATTCCCCCCGTTCAACTTCTTCACGGATGGCTCGCGTTTCTGGGCTCCATTTGCTTCATTACATGGATCTCCTACGTCGTTGTCGAGCTCTCAAATCGCATCAACTGCGTGACAGGTATGAGACCATTATTTTCGCGATTTTGGCAAGAGAAAAAAAATACAAAAACAAAAAAAATGCGTTTTTTACCACAGGAATCAGCTCCTACGTACTGGCTTTGACGGTGTTGGCGGCAGGAACGTCCCTTCCAAACCTTATGGCGAGTAAGATCGCTGCGGAGGAATACGACACTGCGGATTCAGCCATAGCAAACATCAATGCGAGGTAACAGATTCTTGACTTCATGTTTACCTGCTTGATGAAAGTTCTCTTCACAGCAATTGTATCAATGTTTACGTGGGATTTGGCGTCCCGTGGTGCGTCTCAGCACTCTATAGCACGGGCTTCCATCAGAATCTGGTGGTTCCCGTAGAGGGATTGAAATTTTTGCTCTCGGTCTATTTCTCCACGGCAATAATGTGCTTCGTTGCTCTTACAGCGAGGCGACGTCTTCTGGGAGGAGAACTAGGTGGACCCCGGAAATGGGCTTGGGCTTCTGCCATCTTCTTTTTCCTTCTCTGGATCACATTCTTGACGCTTGCTTGTTTGGCAGGCAGATTTACGTGATCTGTTGTAAAAATAAGCCATCAATTACACATAGAATCAATTCTTTTGCCATCGGAGGAATGCAAAAACTACAACCTTTAGCTTTAGTGATTTTTCTCTCCGACGACAAACCAAGGATCTGGAAAAGATTATGTTGTAGAGCCAGAACGAAGCAAGACCTGTCAAAGGAGAACAAAACGAATCTCAAAGGTTCAAATGCTGGGTAACAGTATACCTTCTGGCAGATAGGACGCTGCTTGGTGTTCGTCTTGAAGCTGCCACTACAAATCAATCAAACATAAGAAAATAATTACCAATAGTTCCTGTCTCCAGGATCAAGGAAGGGTGCTATTGTGTTACTATTTAAACGAGTTCCAAGGAAGCATAGTCACATGGCCGTTGTTTCATTTCCAAGACGATCGAAAACGGATCTCTGGACAGATGGAAATATTTAGCAAAAAAAGTTTTAAGCAACATTTCAGCACTGTCGTTTACCGAGGAAGAGATCTTGTTTGATCAGAGTGAATGAACTCGTGCCGTATTGCGAATCGCACCCAGCATCCAAATCAGAACGCAATGCCTCTAAGGACATATTGGACCTGTGTGCTTCGACATCGACAAGTGCCAAAGATATGGATCGTATTATCAAAGTGAGAATTCTTCTCGTCGCTGCCTCTCTCTCGGCTTAGACACTTGGAAGAAAACGCGGACGTCAGCAAAAAGAGGAAGCATCCAAAGAACTTAACACTCACCTGGCATGAGAGCAGTTTGAGAGCAAAACATAGCGTCATATCGTCGAGCAATCTCAGCGGCACTAGATCGGGCCCCCATAAAGATAGCCAACGCTTTCCGCAGCCTACTTGCATTCCTCCCAGTTCTAACTGGCAAAAGCTGTACTAGCCCTTGTCTGTTTCAGCCTGTCACTTTTACACGGTAAGACGACGGAAACAAGCGTGCATATCATACCGCTAGCTGTTGGAAATGACGTTGAACCGTGTGAAACCACTTCAAAAAAATTCCGCCCTCCGACTGGCATCTTGCCGAGTGTCTCGTTGTCTCTGAGCCGAAGGATACACAGTTGTACGCTCCTGTTCCTGAGCTCTGACGTAAAACCAACTTTGAGAGCCCGGATCAGCTGTGGAGGGCCCGATTCCTCCGGCCATATCCAGCTTTGATTCACGCAGACAAAACGAGTAGAAGTCCTTCACCGCGAGTCTTTGCTATACTTCATGTGAGTAGAATTCCGTGACGAAGTCCCGGGGATTTGAGATGAATTGCCTGAAAATTCAATGTGAGTCCATTGAGTCGAAAGATAAAAAAATCTTTCTTTCTTTACCGTTTGATAGAGTCATTCCTCAATTACAATGAGCGCTATAAAGGGAATGCTCTCCATAAGAGCCACCATACCGAAGATCTCGTGGACAGAAATCCGCGGAAATGAATAGCAGGCACTAAATCTGCGCATTGATTGACTCTCGGGGAATGCCTACTCGCACAAGCGGCAGGAAATATTTCCCTGGAAAGACGCACTGGATACCTCGATAATCTCTGCAAGATCGCCAGTGCCGCGAACGATCGTGAATGTAGCTCGCGATCGAAAAAGAACCGATCGAAGCCGGCAAGAATCCATACCTCGTCCCTCCGCCGCGCTCATTCCCTGTGCGCCAAAACCCCTAAATCCTCCCAAACAAGAAAGAAGCCAACGATGTGACTCGAGCCGTGGACGTCTCATCCAATGGAACAAAGGAAAAAATAAAACAACTATACAAAAGCAAGAAGAAGAAACGGAGTGTTCTCTTTCTTCCTCTATAGGCTAACCTTCTTCCTCTTCCTCGTTTTCTCAAGCTTGAAACTCAATGTACTACTACCTCCTCGCCTTGCTTTCCTTCCTCCTCTCCCTCCTCGCAGCCTTGCTCGTTGTGACTTTCTTAAGTACCACTCGCGCGATCGCCTTCCTCGTAGTCCTTTTTCTCATCGTGTTCTTCACGTCCTGTTCGTTCTCTCCCGGCTGTGTCCATTGCTGCCGGGTCTTTACCTTCGCCTTCTCTTTGTTCGTCACTCTCTCCTTCCTTTAATCCCTGCTGCTGCTCACTTTGCTACTGCTGCCGCCACCGCCGTGCTTGGAAGATCTCGGCTTCCCTTCAAACGAAGACCTCCGCGACGACGAGGATGACTTGATCGAGACGGTTGTCCGAGGCCCCACAACCGACGACCCCACGCCAGCCGGCTCGCTCGGAACAAAGCAGCGTGACCGAGAAACTGTCGCCAAGCCACTGCCACTTTCTCTTCTCAGCGATGAAGACGACGTCTTGCCTGCCGCCGCCGCCGCCGCCGCCGAGCTCGTCAACCCGTTCACTTTGCTCGAGTGCCCGTCCTTTGTCTTGATCGATGGCGGCGCCGCCGCTCGAGCCGTGGAGCCGTGCCGTCCGGTGCTCTCCCTGTGCTCGTCCAAGTTTTTGTGGTTGCTCGTCCGAGCTGACGCTGATGCCGTTTCCTGCGTCGAGCCACCACCACCCGGGGGCCGCTTCGCCGCCGCCGCTGCTGACGAGAGGGAATGGTTCACTTGGCTTAAGCTTCTCTTCTTCTCGCTGCTCACGGGGCTCTTCTTCACTGGCGGGTGGTGGTGGTGGCTGGCGGTCTCTTTCCGGGAAGTGCCGTGGCCGTCGGGGATCTGCGTGCTCGGCTTCTCGTCTATCCTCGCCAGCTTTGACGTCCTGTGGTGTGGAGCCTCGCTGCTTTGCTGCCTCTTGCCTTTGACGACGAACTCCTTGTCGTCCGAGTTGGCCATCGTGCAGAGAATAGTTGCAGCTTGAACGCCCGGAGAGCATGGCATGGCTGCATGCATTAAACACCAGCAATGCGTTACTCACGACGTCCTAAAGAATAAGAACAAAAAGAGGTACCTGGTAGATTCGAGAGTGTTCTTCGACTGTGAGGTGCGTCATCGTCGTCACGTTTAAGTTGGAGCGAAGGAAGCTCTGGATGCACAGCCGACTTGCTCTTCTCAAACTCGCCTCCTCGATCCCTCTGAGGAAGTGAACCTTCTTCGTCTTGTTCTTCCTTGGGCCTGACCGCTGCAGCTCCGCTTCTCAACTCCGGCACCTCGACTTTCACCGGCGTCGGCTCCACCTTTGTCTTTGAGCCACTCTCACTTTTCGGCCATGTCCGTTCGCCTGTCCTGCCGTTCCTTGCTGCTCTACTGTAATCCGACACGCCGCATGGAGAGAACGAGAAGGGAGATGGAGGAATGCCTTCGTATCTAGAGTTTTTCTCTGTACCCGGCCCCGCATGGTCCGTCGGCTTCGAGAACGATATCAACGCGTCTAAAGAATCACTAGCCGGCAGCTTGAGTCTGTCCGCAAAATCTTCAACTGAGTGAAGAGGCAAGTCTTCGAGAGTGAAGGTTGGAAAGAGCTCGAACGATTTCGATTTCGTCTGCATGAAGACATGAATAAAAGATCAGCAAACCAAATGATAGAGAACGTACCTTGTCCAGGGATCCCGGCGTGTGTAGTCTGTCCTCGGATTGCTGGCTCTCGTCGCCTTGAGATGGCCTCTCGAGATCCAACATCAGCCTTACCTTCACATCTTCATTCAGAGCATTTTCTACAAAAGGCTTCTGAACAAACGTATGCTTTGGCAAAAGCTGCATGACATTGTTTATTTCCTTTAATACAAGTCCGGATTCGCCATCGCCGCCGTCATCGTCCGCCGATGCTGGTTGCGTTTTCTCGCTGTCATCGGACAAAAGAATGTCCAGTGGAGTAATATTTACCATGAAGCGAGAGAGATCAACATGCTTGGACTTGAGCCCGTACATGTCTGCGAAAAAGGAAGAGGAAAAGAATCGTGTTTCAGATCGACGAAGGAACCAACTTGGACGAATTGTAAAGAAACTCACCAAGAATGCCAGTGGCACTAGCAGAGTTTGATGAGACTTTAAGCTTTGAAGGGGATAAATCGGCCACGGGAGGTAAGTGACCATTTTTTTTGTCTAGTCTTTTTGAGCTTTGCCCACGCCGTCTCCGTCTGGTTGACTCGACATTTTCTGAGAAAAGAGAGAGAGAGAGAAAAAAAGAGATGTTTAAATCTACTCAAAACTCCAAGAAAGAAAGAGAATGAAAAAAGGTAAGAGATGAATGATAAACAAACGCACCAGAGGCACTCGTGGACTGATCAGCAGCTCCATTGTTGGAGCCGTCTTTTTTGTCATCCTGGTGATTAGAGAGCTCCGCGGCAAGCACCTCCCCTTCTCTAGATCTCTTGCGGCTTCGACCCCCTCGGCCTCCCCCCACACCTTTGGACTCCGACCCAAGTCGCTCCACAGTTGTGATGCACGACTTGGTCTTTAGAACTCCCGTCCCAGAGCTATTTACAGGGGGGCCAGGCGCGTTCTTCAAAGTGATGACGCTCCTCCTGGGTTGCGGCTCCGAATTGGAGGACTTGGAGCCTGTGAGTACGCGACACAAAACAAGGAGATTAGAAATAGCAAGAACACGGAGGGAAAGGAAAAGGAGAAAAAAAAAAAAGAGAAGAACCTTGGAGCCTACCTGACTGCGAAAGAGACGAAATCCCCGAAATTGTCTTCCCGTTGAGATGAGGGGGTAGCATGGGGCTGCGAAACCCGTTGGAAGTGGAAACTCCCCCGGCTTTGGGATTGAAATGGGAACTTCTTGTCATCTTGGCTAGCGTTTCGTTGGTCATCATCTTCTCCAGCATCCCTTTGGACGACTCTGCGTATTCCATCCACCGCTTTTCCTCACCAATAGGAGCCAAATCTCGCTCGCTCGCCCGGCCTAGAGCCTAAGCCGCGAGCTCCTGCATGCCGCGAGGCTCTCGATTTACCCCGCCGCGAAGATTGAGAGCACAATCAATCTCCATCTCGAGCATGCATCTCCTCGCGGCGCGCCCCGGAAAAAGAGCGCCGCTGGCCAAGTCAACACCATCTGCCTAACCACGAAAAAGATGCCTCCCCCTTCCCTCTCCTACACAAGATTGGAAGAGATTGGGGGAAGATTGGGATTTCCACTGCCGCCCCACCTCACACGCACAGCGCCGTGTTTCTAGAGCCGGACGCGCGAGCGAAGAGAGGGATTCCAGCGAGAACGAGAGCGAGAGAGCGAGAAAGAGAGAGGATTCAATGCGGAAGAACGCAGGCGCTCAGATCTTTGTCGCCGCCGCGGCCGCGACCTAATGCCTCACACTCGCGGGGCGAGAGTCGCGCAGCTCACAAACCCTAGAAATCTCGTCGATGCGCAACGGCGAGTGCGCACTCTCCCTTCTTTTTTGTGGCTCATTCATGCAAATGTATATGTTTGCCTGGTCTGGCTTGGGTTGCCAGGTACCTTCCTGCCGGCCGTGTCCAACCCGGTGCTGCCCGCGCTGCCCGCCCTGCCCCAGTGTCCACGTCACTCGACCCGGGGCAAAGGGGTAGGTAGGTGAAGCTACTGGGTACCTTGTTGGATCATGCGTCCTGTATGGACCGCCGGCCGGAGAGGGGCGAGTGAAGAGAGTACGTGGGTTTTTCTGTTTGAAGATTTTTTGTTTTTCTTTTTTTCCTTTTTTCTCCTTAATCTTCATCCAACCGAACCATCCAAATCATATAGGGGCCAGTGGTAGCATCGACAGGTAGCTTGCTTGCTCGCTTCATCGCTTTTTGGAATTATTCTCCCTTGCTTTTACCACGGGTGGGGGGGTGAAAGCTTTTTAACTCGTGGTGGTTTATTTTTACCCGGCGATGGGTGAGGTCACGAGCTCAATCCACTGTCCCGACACATACGAGGCCATTTTATAAACGATGGGAGGAATCTACACATGCACAAGCAAGGGCACCCCCCTAAAGCACGTTGATTCGCTAGAAGATTCCTCCTCCTTGGTCAAACCACTAGAGCGATCTCGAGCTTCAATCGTCAAAGAAGCTGCGTCCCAGAGAGGAGACGTCGTCCCCTTTTGACTCCCTGTGAAAAAGGAAGGAGAGAAGTTTAGATCTATAGATCCACATGAGATTTGCCTGTAGCTTTTACCTCCGCAAGCATTCCCTGAATTGGCGACCTCTTCTAATGTCCACCTCGCCCTCCTCGAGCTAAGCAACAAGAACAGTGAGTCGATTGCGAGGCAACATTCTCTAAACTCACGGCATCGTTTCCATAGATTAGATCGTAGCAAGTCCACGAAACGCATTGGAGCATGCAATTTTGCTTGGCGATGCTGCTGGATTGGCACTTCCAGCCCCAGAGTCCACTGGAGAATAGACCAAATTGTCAAGTGGATGATCGCTAATAGAGGTCTACCTGTTAATGTCTTGGAGACACTCTTTTTTTTTGGCCAAAATCTCGTCGTCCTAAACATCGATCAATCAATCACAGCTCTAAAAGGAGCTTCCTAAATTTACCGTGATAGCCCGCCGCTTAGAAGCAAAGCCGCGATCCACGGCCAGCGCCACAAGCAGTAAAATCGTCAACAATCGCGCCATAGCCAGGGCTTTTAACTGTTGCCCTAAAACGAAAAAAATCGCTCCAACATTCTTGTGCTGACTCACGCACGACACGGTCTAGTTGGCACAACCCAAGCGCTCCACGTGGCAGTTGTAAGGCCGCGTCGCCAATTGGCACTAGCGCACGGGCTCCTGCCACGTCAGCCCCACCCATCCATGGCCGCAGCCTCGGCATTGACCTGCAGCCGTTAGATCACCCCCAACCCGACGGCGGCGATGGCGTACGCCACCTTCGCGGGCAGCGGGCAGGCCTAAATCCTCTGCGATTTTACGGCGCCGTCACACTTGGCCTCTTTCACAGCGAGCTCGAATTTACCTGTAGAGGAAAAACGCTGCCCGGGTCGCCTCTAGTATAGTGGCGCAGGCGATGGAGAGGAGCGAGGGCGCATAGGGCTTTTGTCCAGCGCCAGTGAGTGAGAGCTTCGCGAGTGCGGCTAGGGTTTTTCGGGGCGATCTCTAGAACACCATCGCGGTGGCGGAGCAGCCTAGAGGTAGGCACGGTCAATCTCCAGCTCCATTGCGCCGCTGCGAGGAATCGCGCACAGGGTTCTGCCGGGATCGATCGATTCCGGGGCTTTTGGGCCATGCTCTAGCAGGTACTCTGGATCTCTCTCATTGCGGGGCAAAGGATTGGATGTGTGACTGATAGAGCGGAAAGAATGAAGAGCAAAGGGAGAGGGAAGCCGCGGAAGCGGGCAAAGGCCGAGGATGTGGCCGACCTCGTCAAGACGGAGATAGATGCCGCCGAGGCGCTCGCAGAGTTTAGTAAGCAAGTAGTGGTGGCTCGAGACGACGATTCTGGCATGAAGCTCCAGTGGCAGAGAAAGCGCAAGAGATCTACAAAGTATGGGATGGAGTCGTCCAGCAGCAGTATGTTGGTGGCCTCCAACAGCGCTGTGGATTTCCCACTCGTCAAGGACGAGTACCCTTCGGACAGTGATAAGGAACGCGGTGGTGGTAGCCTTCCTTTGGTGACTTACAACAGGTTTGACACTTCCGAGGATTCCCTGGAGCCGGGCTTTCGGGCTGAGAGCCCGAGCTCACCACTTCCGCCTCTTGGAACCGAGGGATACTCGGCCTACGTCAAGTCGGAGGCGGGGCTGGTCCAGCAATGCGCGTTCAAGTCATCGCTGGAGTTTGAGGAGAAGCCAAAGGCAATCTCCTGGAGCAAGCTCCGTGGGATGAAGCAGCCAAAGCTGGAGGACGCGAGGTCGAGTTTCCATGCAAAGGATAGACGAATGAGTTCTACGCTAGGATGCGGTAAAGGACGGTCTGCCAGAGCCGTGTTAACCGAGGTAAGCCATTTTGAGTTTCATTGCCTCGTCTAATATGTTTTGCTTTTCTCGAACTTGTCTTCCAGGAGGAGAAAGAGATCCGCAGACTTCGACGAATAGAAGCAAATCGGGAGTCCGCACGTCAAACCATACGCCGAAAGCAGGTACTTATCATGGGATTACATGGCGTGGCAGTAAAGCATGGTCTCTTGATTCGCAGAAAATGTGTGAAGAGATGACGTTGAAAGCGAACGAGCTTTCTTCAGCAAACGATCGATGTAGGAAGGTAAATGCTCCCTCGCTTTGCTCGTGATTGATCGATTAAGCCTGTGTTTCTTTTCCGTGCAGGAAATCGAAGCGATCCGCGAGGAAAACCGGCGTCTGTATGAAGCAGGCTGTTCTTTACGAAAGCAGGTACATAACAAGTATGATTCATACTCACGTCTTACATAAAGCGTTGTCTCGCAGCTTGCCGACAAGTACATAGAGCTCGGCACCTCCTTCCCAGTTCTTCCGACTTTAGAGGACGAATCCAAGTGTGCAAGGAAGCCGGATGGATTCAAGGAAGCGATCACTGAGACTGTCCAAGTTAACAGGCAGGATGACAACATAGAATTGGTGGAGTCACAAACCTCACACTCCACAGCAGCAGTGGCTCGCACGAATCAAACAGCGGCGCCGTTGCTTACAGTGGAACGCTATACAACAATGGTTCCTCCAAGATTTTATAGTTTCCCTTATTCATTTTACACGGGGCGAAAAGATGCGCTAGCAGCAGCTACGGCAGCTCAGGCCCGGCGACGAAGAAAAGAGCTGACGAGAAGCAAAAATCTGCTGGCCAGGCAAGTTAGCCTTAACTCTTGATACTTTGATCATCTTTCCTCTCAATTTTCTTCTTTCATGATTTTTTTCTTATCCTTTTTTTTTCATCAACTCTGAGTTGATAGATATGGTTTGAAAAGCAATTATTTTCATGTGACACCCCAAATTGTATTCTTTATACGCTATAATCTTGAAAGCATGGTTGAATTTTTTGTTTTATTTTGCAAATAGTGGGAGGAAAAAAACCAAGCAGTGGCACAAACTCCCCACTCAATCAATACAAATTAGCAGCAATTATCGGGTTTTCATTGTTTACTCAAACTGTGGGACTATTCCTCCAGCAGCAACAATTTGTTCTTCCAGCTACACAAAATGTTTCATTACAAAATCTTAATGGTAAAGAAAAATCTCGTTTTTGAACCTGAAGAAGTGTTTCCAACCTTGCTTTCACCAATTGATACTCCCGTTTAACTTGTTGAAGGCAATTCACACACCTGAAACAACAAAAGGATCTCATAGTATTTGAGAAGTTTTTGAAAGAATCCTGGTTCACCCTTCTTTGTTTGAAGCATCACAACACTGCCGAAAGCTAATGCAAACATTCTTCACGCGTTGCGCTCCAATGCTGTGAGTTCGATCGATTCGTCTGTGAGAAAGTAAAAGGATGTTTTGCGTAGATACCTGGAGCTACTGCCTTTGAACTGATGAACATGAGCATCAAGAACTTTGAAGTCAAGAGGATCAGTCTCACTGCCAACAAAAATGACAAAGAGACACATACGCATCAAATCAAAAGAGAAGTTAAGTTAAAACTCACAGTGTTTCAGTGATGCTGTCGATTATTTTCTCGGAGTCCTCGAAAAAGAGCGTTACAACTTCCGCCACGAATCCTGGATTGCTTGGGTCCTGTAACTGTTGGAGCTGGACAAACTGATCATCGAGAAATCCCTGGATTCCAAAAAAGAAAAAACCAAAAAAAAAAAAGAAAACGAGGAAGAATGAGAGGTTCGAGCCTTGATAACCAAAATCCAAACCTCCTTGAACATGTCCTCTGTCAGCTCCACGTATTTTTGCTCCAGCGGGGCTGCAGCCATCCCTAATTCGATCGATCCAATCCTCCCCAGCGGCACAAAGATCCGATGGCCTCCTCACGGACGAATGCTCATGATCCGCTGCAAGGAATTCTTAGCAAATCGCCAGAAAAGCTATCGATCGGAGCTCACCCTCGTTCGCCTCCCAGCCCTAGCGATCATCCAAATTACCCTCCCCTGGCCAAAGAGGACAGAGAAAAAAAAAACCCAAAAAAAACCATGAGAGGAGAAAAGCTGTAGTATATTCCAGCTCGAGCCAATGCCATCCAACCACATAGAGAATAGCAGCAAGAACAATTGCAACACAGCCTGGAAGGAAAGACGGACAAAACCGAGCAAGGGGAGGGAAAACCTAAAATAGTGGCGATCGAATTTCCTCCAAATCTTCTCGCGCGCCACGCGACATAGCCCCAAAGCGTGGCAAATCTTCGCGAAGAAAATCTCGCTCGCTCGCCATTGCCACTCCGTCGGCCCTAAAGCTTTGTGGCGGGAAATTTTTTGACCGAAATATTGGGGCGATCGTGGCCGTCCGTTGCCGCAGCAACGGCTCGGATGCGCATGAGGCCGCCCTTGATGCCTATGCTCCCCTGGAAGCTGCGCCTAAAGGAACGAAGAGTGTGAGTTAGGTTTTCTTAGAGCTGCTAGGGTTGATGGCGCGGCAAAGGAGGTCGCCCTCGGTAGAGGAGGACGAGGAGGAGCCCATGGCGGCCGAGAATCAGGAGAGCGGCAGCAGCGAAGCTGAGGAGGAAGAGGAAATTGAGGATCTCGGCGACGCGGAGGAGGAAGAGGAAGAGGCGGAATCCAGCCGGCACTCTTCGGCAGACGAGAGCTCCGATGACGAGGTACGAATTCTTCGCTTGGTCTAGAGCTGATTTTTTTGCCGCAGGACGAGATCTCCCATAAAGAAAAGGAGAGGCTGCGAGTCTTGAAAAAGAGGAACAGTGATCAGCTCAAATTGCTCAGCCAGCAAAATGCTCAAATCGATGCTGATATGGTAAGCTGAAAATCAAGCTGTCGATTGACGAATTTCTCCCCCTGACGATTGCGCTGCCGATCAGAATCATAAAGCGGAGGGGAGGCTAAAGTTCTTGCTAAAGCAGACAGAACTATTTTCTCACTTCGCTCAAGGCGCTCCAGCTGACACGTCCTCCAAGAAGAAGAGGTACAAATAGGAATGCTCTAGAAGCGGAAGATACTGTGGAACTCTTCTTGTGTTTACTCGGACTAACCTTACTTGTAGAGGAGGAGGAGGACGCCGTAAACTGACTGAAGAGGAGGAAGACAAAGATATAGCTCAGGATGAAAGCGGGGTTGGGACAACAAAACTCTTCACGCAACCATCCTGTATGCTGGTTATTCCTTTGGATGATTTCTAACATTTGTTGAAGCGCAGGTATTAAAGGAGTTATGAGGGATTATCAGCTCGCAGGTCTGAACTGGCTCATTAAGCTCTACGAGAACGGAATCAATGGAATTCTAGCCGATGAAATGGTACATTGTAGAGCTGTTCATTTTGAAGTTCATGGTGTTGATTTATTCTTCAACAGGGCCTTGGGAAAACGCTACAAACAATTTCTCTTCTCGGCTACTTGCATCAGTATCGGAAAATTACCGGTCCGCATATGGTGGTTGCTCCGAAGTCAACTCTGGGTAACTGGATGAATGAAATTCGGAAGTTTTGTCCCATTCTCCGAGCAGTCAAGTTCCACGGTACCCAGGAGGAAAGGGTATGTTAAATTGTTAATCTTTGTGCTTGCTAAATCATGGTACTTCCAGGCTTATCAGCGAGATAATTTACTTAAACCTGGGAAGTTCGACGTATGCGTTACAAGTTTTGAGATGGCAATTAAAGAGAAAGCAGCACTTAAGAAGTTTAGCTGGCGATATATTATTATTGACGAGGCCCATCGGATCAAGAACGAGAAATCAATTTTGGCGAAGACTATGCGCATTTTTTCTACGAATTTTAGGCTCCTCATAACAGGAACACCGCTGCAGGTATTTTAAAAGGTTTCTTAAGCTGAACCTAATTCACTGAACTGATTGACAGAACAATCTACACGAGTTATGGGCTCTTCTTAACTTTCTGCTGCCGGAGATTTTCAGCTCTGCTGAAACATTCGACGAATGGTTTCAAATATCTGGCGAAAACGACCAGCAAGAAGTTGTGCAGCAGCTTCACAAGGTATGAATGAGCGCTATGCGCTATCGTCGATGCTGATAATGATTTTACAGGTGTTGCGGCCTTTCCTTTTGCGAAGGTTGAAGTCAGATGTTGAAAAGGGGCTGCCTCCCAAGAAGGAAACAATTCTCAAGGTTGGCATGTCAAAAATGCAAAAGCATTACTACGGATCGTTGCTCCAAAAAGATCTCGATGCTATCAACACTGGCGGAGAAAGAAGACGCCTTCTAAATATTGCGATGCAGCTCAAAAAGTGCTGTAACCATCCATACTTATTTCAAGGTGCTGAGCCAGGTCCGCCATATCTCTCTGGAGAGCATCTTGTTGAAAACTCAGGTTAGTTTCTTTAAGGGTCACTCGTTCGTTTTTTATCGCTTTCTCTGGCAGGCAAGATGGTGCTTTTGGACAAGCTTTTACCGAAACTCAAACAACGGGATTCTCGTGTTCTCATCTTCTCACAGGTTGGCATTTACCTTCACAGAATTATACTCTAAATAAACTTCTGTTTTCTCAGATGACCAGACTTCTTGATATACTTGAGGATTATTGTATTTATCGTACATATCAATATTGTCGTATCGATGGAAAAACAAGTGGCGAAGAACGTGAAGCTGCTATAGAATCGTTCAATAAGGAGGGAAGCGAGAAATTCTTATTTCTTTTGTCAACGCGAGCCGGTGGCCTTGGAATTAATCTGGCAACAGCGGATATTGTTATATTGTATGACAGTGATTGGTACGACCTTCAATGAGTTTTGAGTGATGGTTAATATGGCCATTTTTTGCAGGAACCCCCAGGCCGATTTGCAGGCTCAAGATCGTGCCCATCGTATCGGTCAAAAAAAGGAGGTTCAAGTTTTCCGGTTTTGCACAGAGGTAATAAGTTGATTATAACTTCCTTTCGGCCTCTCAACTAGGAGCTTTGCAGTTGACTATCGAGGAAAAAGTTATTGAACGGGCTTACAAAAAGCTTGCCTTGGATGCGTTAGTCATACAACAAGGTCGTTTGGCGGAAGAAAAGAGTATGGTTAAATGTTTCAACGTTGCCACTTTTTGACACTTGCTTGGCACAGCTGTTAACAAGGATGAGCTTCTTCAAATGGTTCGATACGGCGCGGAGATGGTTTTCAGTTCTAAAGATAGTACCATAACCGATGAAGATATAGATCGTATAATTGCGAAGGGAGAAGCTGCAACTGCTGAACTGGATGCAAAGATGAAGAAGTTCACGGAGGATGCGATTCAGTTTAAGATGGATGATCGTAAGTGCACTCTTATTAATCCATCCCATCACACTATGTTTTGTATTTTACAGCTACCACCCTCTACGATTTTGATAATGAGAAGGAAAAGGTAGAGTTTGCATTTCGAACGCGGTCTTATCCTTACACTCTGATTTCAGAATAAAGACTTCAAGAAAATAGCTGCTGACAATTGGGTTGAACCTCCTAGACGGGAACGCAAGCGGAAGTAAGTATCGAGGTCCAGACGACAGGTACTGATAAGATTGTTTACACAGCTATTCAGAATCCGAATACTTCAAGCAAGCCCTTAGACCGAGCACCTCAAGCAAGTCCAAGGAGCCCAGAATTCCCAAAATGCCTCCACTGTATCCTTGTCTTTCTTCTACAATTTCTTTGTTCTTTCTTTTTTTCTTTAACATTTTCAGACATGACTTCCAATTTTTCAACGTTCCTCGACTGACGGAGATTTTTGAAAAAGAGGTGACGCGGAGATATCTGAACAAGAATCAAGACGGTGAAACGGGAGATATTGAGGGTGTGTTTTCTTTTACTTTCCTTTTCGTGTCTGACTTAAAGCTAGCAGAAGGCGAACCACTTACGCCAGAAGAGCAAGAGGAAAAAGAGCAACTTTTGCGAGAGGTAATATTGGGAGGTTTTGCCAGATCTCATTTCTTTTCTTTACAGGGCTTTCCAACTTGGAATCGAAAAGACTTCACCAACTTTATTAAGGCATGTGAAAAGCATGGCCGCTCGGAAATTGGAAAAATAGCTCTTGACATGGAAGGAAAGACGGAAGAGGAAGTTGAGCGGTATGCAAAAGCTTTTAGTGAGCGCTACAAGGATCTTACTGGTATGTAATTTTTCTGCTTTGTATTCCTTGAGGCTAAAATCTCTTTATTTGTTTCAGAATATGATAAAATAATCAAAACAATCGAAAAGGGTGAGGCCAGACTTGCACGGAGGGACGAGATTATGAAATCGATCGGGAAGAAACTAGACAAATACCGGAATCCCTGGCAAGAGCTGAAAATCCAGTACGGCCAAAACAAAGGCAAGCTGTACAACGAGGAGTGTGATCGTTTTATGGTACGTTAAGCACGAAGGTATACTATCGCCACCGATTTCATGATGCATTTTGCAGGTATGTATGATCCAACGCCTCGGATATGGGAACTGGGACGAGCTAAAAGCGGCATTCAGGAGCTCGCCGCTTTTCCGGTTCGACTGGTTTGTGAAGTCACGCACGCCAGCAGAGCTTGCAAGGCGGTGTGACACTCTCATCAGGCTGATCGAGAAGGAAAACCAGGAGACCGAGGAGAACGATCGACAGGTTCGGAAGAAGCCTGCAAAGGTAGTCAGCTCTTTTGTTTCTATTTCCTTGTGTTTACTTTGCTTCGTCTTTGTAGAATGGAGCCTCTCCATCGACAAAATCGTGCTCTGGTAGTGACAAGGAAGAGGTCGCGGCGCCTACTCCCAAGAAGAGAAAAGCTCCCTCGGAGACATCATCGGTATGTGGTGTTTTGTTCTTCGTCCCCTTCTCTTTTTTGCTTGTAGATCTTAAGTTATGCATTTGTGTTTGCACTGTGTCTATGCTCCTGTGTGACTGGAAGCACGCTTCTTTTACAGGATTAGCCTGTAGAGCATCCAAGTGACGATCGGTGTAAGTCCTTCCTGCCTCGTACTTGGTTTTGATAGCTCAGGATCGTCAGTCACAAAGATGCTCAAGTGATTTTTTTTGTTTCAGGCCAAGAGGAGGAGGTGATCCGGGGCTATTCTTTTTAGTTGTACAGTTTTGATTGTTAATGGTCATCAGTGACTTTATGCCACTTTAACCCTTGACTATAATTTGTCAGCCCTAATCGGACGAATAAACTTTTAGGGCAAGCAGCATTAAGGTCTAGAAGCCACTGGCTAAAGCCTAACCCTAATTTGACTTCCTTCTTTAATCCTCTTATATACAAACCCATATAAATGGGAGGAACAGGAAACATTGGAATGTACTTATTTTTGACTTTCGAGTTCCAGTATGAGCTGCTCCATGGTCTTCCTGTATATTGGCATGTAGTGATCATTCACCATGGTTCGCGACAACCGCACCTTCCCATATAGCCTCCTGTTCGTCTCAAACAGTCCCACCCTCGCCTTGAATTCCTGCTCGCCACCATCGCTGCCCGAGTCCTCTGGCAGCGGCGAAACCATGTGAATCACTCGACCTGGGGGATAGAACCGATTGCGCTCTCGGCCACAGCCTTGTTCTTCCGATGGCAAAACTATGTCCCTTCCCATCTCGGTCGCGGACGCCATCACGTCCTCCTCCTCTTTGGTGATCTCCTTAGCTGCTCGCTCTTCTTCTTCCCGCCCCAGGCGATCCTCCTCCTTTTGCCGCTGGAGTTCTTCTTCCAGCTCCTGCCACAGATACTCCTCGCCAATGCTTACGTGATCCGCTGCCTCCTGGGAGCTGGAACCGGGAAATTCTGCTTCAATCTCCATTTCCTCCTGAGTCTCCACGGACCACTTTGTGTCCTCCTGAGTCTCCACGGACCACTTTGTTTCCTCCTGAGTTTCCACAGACCACTTTGTTTCTTCCACCTCGGTGAAGGTGGACGAGCACGGAAGAGAATCCGCCTTTGGAGCCTCTTCCATTCCCCCTTCACTCTCTTTAATACTCGTCACTGTACTCGTTACTGTGTTTGCACGCCTACGCGGCCCGATGCACGCCCATCCAGACAGTCCGGTCAATCCGAGCGATGGCCGAGTCCGAACAACTGCCATTGCAACGTTCTGCGCTTGTTTCATGACAACCTGGACGCATTAAAACACGTAGTTAGAAATTGGTGCAGGACGCTGGACGATGGACGGGGGGAATGGAACTCAACGAAGTACCAGGTTGGAAAGATGACAAAGATTGCTTTGCCAGTATATCCTAACACGGTTCGTCCAAGGATAGAAGAAACCCGGAAGAGCTTCTCCGAAAAAGATGTAGGCCTAATCTTTGCTGGAGAAGGATCAGGAGAGTGGAGAAAGGGGAAAGCATTGTGTTCGTTACGGGATAGTAGATACCTGGGTGCTGCTGCTGACTGGCTTCCAGATAGCCCCCGCGCTAGCGACTCCAGTTCGCATCCTTGCCATTGATGGCAATCTGCTACTTACTGCTGTAGCAGAACGATACACTGTCCGCAAGATTCTTGTTCGTTCGATCTGCTCCTTGAAATCACTGACCCAAGCAGAAGATGTCACCTATTTCAGAAAAATGAATTTCACAGCGAAAGGGAGAAGTATGAGCAGCAAACTACTTACTTCAGCTCGTAAATCGTCCACAGATGCAGCAGAAAACGTTGGCACCAGGTCTGAACCGTTTACGACAGACGTCACAAATGGCAATCCAGACTCCGCAAGCTCCCACGTCATGCAAGCAGCTGATAATAGTAGAATGTTAGCAAAGTCTCGGCTCTAAAAAATAGTTATCTACCAGGAGCGAAGGATACACAATTCGCTGAACTGAATTCCTTCTTCTCTCGAAGAATATACGTCAGCAAAGCAGCCGTGCCGCCGCCAAGTGAATGACCAACTATCTGGATCAAACGTAAGCGTCAAAATGGGAGTTCCAATCACGCCTCTTACCTTTATTCGATAGCCGGGAGACTTATTTAAAGCTTCAAGCAAATGCGGAGTAGCTAGCTGAGCAATCCACCTTGCAGCAGCAACCATGCCGCAATGAGCATATCCCAAAACCAAACTTTCCACGCCTCCGTTATGCAGAACCGTGAGATGGAAGGGGACAACCGCTCCCGTGACAGCCGTTAACGTGTCCTTGATGCTATGAGTTCCACGGATGACAAGAAGTATGGATTCGGTCTTGTCATCCCTCAACACACAAAAGGCGGGCTTCAACAGCTGCACGAAAGAAAAGAAATAGCTCACTTAATCGACTAGTCCCGAAAAGAAAGAACCAACATACCGCAGCCTTCGGTTCTTGAAGAATCACTTGATCCTTAGAGAAGCCAGTTTCTTCCAGGAACAAAGGGAACGGCTTCTTCGAAAAATGTAGACATATAAGAAGCAATCGCAAGAGCTCCTTCAACGTATTCACAACCTCCAAGCCTGTAAGCTGGCAACCATCGCCAGCGAAAACACTAGCTACGTGGAGATGTCCCTGCGAAGACGAAAGAAGAGTAGCTGATTTAACAAGAAAAGCACTACTTCCACACTTCCACTTACTTGACGCCGGAGAAGGTAATTGATTCCAAACGCCAAATCCCCAATCGGCCATTTCCCAAGAGTCTCCGAGTAAGTAAACCGCAAAGTCTCCATAATCGTGGCAAGAGCTTCCAGCCATGTCGATGGAGCTCGGACGAGCCGAGGCATCCTCAAGGAGCTGGAGCTGGAGCTCCTACTGGATTCCCCGCCCTCATCCAGCTCGCCAAATTCATCCACACCGCGCCTTCCCCATGGAATCCCCCATCTCGAGTAGTAATACAGGGCAGCTGCTCCAGCCGCCGTCGCAAGCGTCGCCGTAGCCATCGCGCTCCAGAGCTTCGATCATCCCTCGGACATGGAGCTGTAAAGCGCGCATTCGATCGAGAGGGAGCGGTTCCAGCAGCGTAGCCTTACCTGGAGAGATTGCAGAACCCTAGAAGCAGATCCAGCTCGCCGTGAGGATTTCGCACGGAAAATGCGATGACTCCCCCGAGAAATTCCACCGCCTTCCCTAGTCACAGAACAAACGTTGCGTCGCTTCTCCTCCGTTAGGTCTAAAAAGGTCACATATGTCCGGAGGATATCCTCCTTGGAACCGTTGGATAATCCAATAGGGCTGCTTACGTGGGCCGTCGGATGTCGCCGTAAGGCCAAGTGTCACACCGCGAATCCGACGACCACGATTTCTTCCAGACCGGAAGTGCCACACCGCGAAATTCGACGGCCAGGATTTCTTCTAGACGGGAATCAATGGCCAGATGTCGAGCAGCCTGTCGCTTCTTTGTTCCAAGCAAGGCCCACTCCACGCGTTGAGGGCTTTTGCGAGCGCTCATGTTCTTCACGTCGATAGGGCTCACAGCGAGGCGGATCTGGCACGCCAGTGCAACGATGCCAGAGATCTCTCCCATGCCCGCCAAATCCACGCTCGAATTCTCGCCACCGAGTGGCGCGGCAGCGTTTTCCTGGGAAATCAGGTTATTCATATGTATGGGCGATGCGGTAGCGTCGGCGACGCCGATCGTGTGTTTCACGCGATGGAGCGGCGGAATCTCTTCTCATGGAACATCGTCCTCGCGGCATATGCCCAGAACGGGCATCTTGCCGAGTGTAATGCCGGGTTCTCGAGGATTCCGGAATGGAATGTTGTGTCGTGGACGGTGATGATGGTGGCTTACACACAAAGAGGGAATGTCCAGGGCGCGAAGGAAACGTTCGATCAAATGCCGGAGCGGAATGTCGTGTCTTGGACGACCATGATCTCGCTATATGCCCAGTCAGGGCATTTCGAAGATGCCAAGAGAATGTTCTCTTTAATTCCGGAATGCACTGTGGTATCCTGGACGGTCATTTTCCAAGCCCACGTTACCAACGGCCAGATCGACAGCGCCAAAGCCGTGTTTGACGAAATGCCCGAGAGGAACGTGGTCGCGTGGACGGCCATGGTCTCGGCATATTCCAACCTCCACAGGCCGGAAGATTCGCTCGCGTGGCTCAGCAGGATGCCACAGTGGAACGTGGTCACGTGCAACGTCATGCTGGACGGCTACGTGGCACGGGGCCTCTTTGACGACGCCGCCGCGCAGTTCCACGTCGTCCCCAAGGATGTGGTGACGTGGAACACCATGCTGACGGCATGCACGGAGCACGGCCACGTCGACCTCGCGGTTGAAATGTTCCACAGGATGCCGCAGCACACCGTCGTGACGTGGAACGCGATGATAGCCGGGTATGCCCGTAACGGGCATCTGGACGAGTCAAGGGCGCTGTTTGACTGCCTAGACGAACGCAACGCGGTGACGTGGACAACCATGATTTCGGCGTACGCGCAGTGTAGATTACTGCGGGAAGCCGCGGTTCTGTTTCACGAGATGCCGCAGTTAGACGCACGGCCGTGGCACGTCATGGTTGCGGCATATGCCGAGGCAGGGCAGTTTGACGACGCCAAGGCGCTGTTTGAGCAGTCCGACGCTCGGGATTCCACCACGTGGACGGCCATGATGGGCGCTTATGCTCACCACGGCCAGTGGGAACAATCCAAGGCCTTGTTCGATGGAATGCCGAGAAGAGCTGTGGAGCCATGGAACAATTTGATCTCGGTGTATGGCCAATGCGGCTATCTGCAAGACGCGATCGAGGCATTCCATAAGATTCCCCACCGGGACGTGATCTCCTGGAACTCGATCCTCACGGCCACCGCGCAAAATGGACGCCTGGACGATGCCGAGGAGCTCTTTCGCCAAATCCCCGAGACGAATCCAGTTTCTTACAACATCCTCCTCCAGGCGCACGCTCAATCCGGCAACATCGATCGAGCGCTCGCTTTGTTTCGATCGATGCCAGGGCTCGGGATCCTGGCGTGGACGGCGATGGTCCTGCTCTACGCCAAGACCGGCAATCTGAACGACGCGCGGGAATTTTTCCACAGAATGCCGCAGCGCGACGCCTTCTCGTGCATCACCATGATCGCGGTGAGCGCGATGAAGGGGAATCTTTCTGAATCAAACCAGTGCTTTCGCGAGATCCGCTACCACAACCTCGCGTCCTGGACGACGATGCTAGTGGCAAATGCCCAGAACGGGCATCTGGAGGTAGCGCGAGCGTTGTTTGATCTCATGCCCGTACGAGACAACGTATCATGGAACGCGATGATCACGGGCTACGCCTCGAAGGGCCGTACGGAAGAGGCCCGGCGGATATTCGAGTCCATGCCGGAGCGCAACGCGGCATCTTTCGGCGCCATGATCTCGGCATATGCCCAGAACGGGTATATTCCCCAGGCGCGCGAGGTCTTCGAGAGTGGCGGCTCCTCCCAGCACGACGCCTGGAACGCCCTGATCGCGGCACTGGCGCGCGATGGCCACGCCGCCGACGCGATCCATCTCTCGCGCGCGATGGCGCTCGAGGGCTACGCGCTGGATGGGGAGTCCTTCACGGCCATCCTCACGGCGTGCTGCCACTCGGGCAACATTGGGCGAGGGATCCGTGAGTTTGGATCGATCGTGGATCACGGGCTGAGCCCAATTGGATCTCACTACTGCCGGATGATCGATCTCCTGGGGCGTGCCGGGGAGCTGGGCAAGGCGGAGGATTTGATCGCGGCAATGCCATTCCCGCCCTGCGATGTGGCGTGGGGGACGCTCTTGGGTGCGTGTAAGGTCTCGCCAGATGTGGAGAGGGGGATGCGAGCGGCAGGGCAGGCATTGGAACTGGATGGCCAGAGATCCGGCCCCTATATCATGCTCTCCAACTTGTACACGAGAGAGGCGTAGATTGTCTGTAAGGATTGATCAAAAACAGCCTGGATTTTGTCACAGGAACTGACACATTCGTTTCTAGAAGGATGGATTGATCTAACTTCCTTTTGAATTTAACTCGATTTTAATAATTTTTTACCTTTTTTCTTTTATCTTTCTAACCATTTTTATGATTTTAACCAAATAATAAAATCAAATTTATATTGTGAGGTCCATGCACTCACAATATGATATTATTTTTATTAGGAAATCCTAAAAAGGTTCTTAAGTAAGTACCTTTTGCACTCAGTTCCATAATACGTACATGCATTGCAGCTTGACTCCCCTTCCATAAGCAAGAATAATCTCGCTAATCATAGTCAGTTGTGTCACTTTGGTTTAGTAGTTTTCCTTCTGGAGATACCTACAAAGTTCCAACCTTAAGAAAAGAAGACAATTAAAAACCTCATACACAGAAAGACCCTCATACCCTTTATATCGTGAGGCCCTCCTTTAGCAACCCAGCCTTGAACATCCTCTATTTCACTCTTCACCTGGGCGTCTCCTCACCACATGTTTCAATCGCATCAGCATGCTCCGAATAGTCCACTCTTCTCACATGGTTTAAGAATTAAAACAAGCAAATGGTGTCGAGGGTATTCCTTGGGCCTTGATTGGTGAGTCTTGGATGATGATGTTGGTTCGATCAAGTTCCACGACCACCACAACTGATGCGGTCTTGTTTTAGATCAGATCTCAGGAACAGGAAGAGGAACGTACATCCTCCGGCTCGGAGACCCTCAACGTCTATAAACGTATGACATTCATGCTTCTTTCCGTTAGCGAACAAGTGCTAGTATAGCTTTAGATAGAATTGTCAGACTGTGGAAAACGTTGGCTATCTTTATGGGGGCCCGATCTAGTGCCGCTGAGATTGCTCAACGATTTAACGCTATGTTTTGCTCTCAAACTGGAAAGACAAGCTCGCATGCAGGTGAGTGCTAAATTCTTTGGATGCTTCTTCTTTGCTGTTTTCTTCCAAGTGTAATGAAGCAAATGGAGCTCAGAAACGTGAGCCATCCATGAAGAAGTTAGACAAGAAGAAGCCGAGATCTAGCATGGCGGCAGCAGTAGCAAGGGGAGCAAGAGTCACAAGCGAAGGTAAGCACACAGGAATAGGATGTGAAGATAACACAATTGGGCGAGTGGTACTTAAGAAAGTAACAACAAGCAAGGCTGCGAGGAGGGAGAGGAGGAAATGTCTAGATTTCTCCCCACTCATGTGATGCTTTCTATTGGCTTACCTCAACGCTCCCTCGTAATCCAAGTGTCACCCAACCTAAGCCTAGTGCAGAATGAACAAATTTGTAAGGTCCTAATGGCTTGGTGAGGATGTTGGCCAATCTCTCTCCCATAGGAACATAATCGATGTACATTACTCGTGCTTTGACTTATTCTCACACGTAATGGAACTGCCCAAGAATGTGTTTGTTGTGACCATGGAAGACTGGATTCCACGTCATTAATATGCTGCTTTGATTGTCACACCTCTTTAATTTTTGGATCAAGCTTCTTGTGTAACTAATCTAGAACATGGGCATATGTGGTGCAATTAACATGCAAAGATGTGAAATATCAAACTTCTTTCCAGACCACACTTCCTCCAGAGTTTGGCCACCTTTTAGTGCAGTGGTGGCTAAACAATTTTGCACATGCATCACCATAGCAAATGCCTTTTGCCAGAATGCCTAGCCTAATTTAGCATAAAAAAGAAGGATGCATGCTGCATTGTGTTTGATTCTTCCTCTCAGTGATACCATTTTGTTGTGGGGTGTATTGTGCAGTGATTTAGTGTTCACATGACAAAAGTCTTGAAGAGAATGGTTAAAATACTCCTTTCCACCATTAATTCGCAATGCGCTAATTTTCTGCTCTAAGATTTGTTTCAATGAAAACTTTGTAGTGTTTGAAGGTCTCTTAGCCTCGTGCTTTCCTCGCAAGAAGAATATGCATGTTTTACGATTGAAATCATCAACTAGCATCATGAAATATTTCACACCAAAGTGATTGGGAACATTCATAGGCCCACACAAATCTGAGTGAACAAGTTCTAGTGGATATTTGTTTTGACACATTGATGAAGCAAAATTTTGCTGATGAGGATGTTTCCCTAGCATACATGTCTCGCAGAAGGGGTGTGTAATCTTTATCCCAAGGTTCAGCCCCATAACAATGTTTCATGTCTTTATATCGGGAAGGAAGTATTGCCCTCAGTAAAGCAATTGACTGGCAAAAGGGTATTTGAGAGAAAGGCTAGGCTGAAAAAATCAATTTCTATAATTTTATATTTATTGATATTATTATTATCGCTTAACCCTAACCGTACCACGAATTCATAAAAACCTTATGCCATAACTCTATACCCTTTTGCACTCAATTCCATAAGCTCTGCAAAAATTGCATCTTGACTCTCCTGCCATAAGCAAGAATAGTTTCGCCAATCATAGTCAGTTGTGCCACTAGTTTGGTCCACCGATTCCAATACTTTTCCTTCTGGAGATACCTACAAATTTCCAACCTCAAGAAAAGAAGATGAAAGAAAAACAGTTGAAAACCTACCTTCTGGACCAAATACCTCACATATACATGCTCCTCATCATCCCACAGAAAGAGAGCCAGAGCCCGCATACCTTTTTCATCAGGAGGGAAGTATTGCCCTCCTTTGACAACCCAGCCCTGAACATCTTCTATATCAATCTTCACAGGGAAGTAATCCCTCTCAGTCACAGGATCGACGATGGGCGTCTCCTCGACAGAGAAATCCACCACATACCCGGGATGTTTCAACCGCATCAGCATGCTCCGGATAGCTTCTTCCATCTTGACAAAACCTAAAGCCTACCCTAAAGCATTTGGGCGAAAGGCTATTGAAAAATACAAGCGCTCCAGAATCATGAGCACACCGTATTTTTGTTCCGTGCAATGGTGCGGGCATCGCGCTATGCGAGGGTATTCCCGGGTCCTTGAGAATTCCAGAATGAAATGGAGTCTTGGGGCTTATTTACAAAGAGAAGATGCTAGATAACGTTCGATCAAGTTCCACGACCATGCGGCAACTCGGTGACACGGACGGATGGAGCATTCCCTGGTAAAGAAAGCCTTTTCTTCGACTCAATGGACACAATAGATTTTCAAGCCAAGACTTCTTGTGTGAATCAAAGGTGGGGTGTAACAAGCTCTTTACAGCTGATGCCACCTCTCAAAAGTGGTTCTACATCAGATCTCAGGAACAGGAACGTCCAACTGTGTATCCTCTGGCATTCGACACTCAGGAATTGTTTTCAAGTGGTTGCACACGGTTCAACTTCATTACAAACAGCTAACAGTATAACATTCATGCTTCTTTCCGTGTCCTTACCGTGTAAAAGTGATAGGATGCTATGGAGTGCTGGTACAGCTTTTGCCAGATAGAACTGGGAGAAATGCAAGTAGGCTGTGGAAAACATTGGCCATCTTTATGGAGATTGCTCAACAATCCGTTTTCAATCGTATTTGAAATGAAACAACGACCATGTGAGTTTGTCCTCCTTGGAACTCATCTCAAAAATGTGATGCAATAGTACCCTTCGTTGATCCTGGAGAGAAATCTATTGGTAATCAAGTTATGATACTGTTTTGGATTGTTATATTGATTTGCAGTGGCTGCTTTAGGACGAACATCAAGCAGCATCCGAAGGTATACTGTTTACGTAACATTTGAACCTTTGAGGTTCGTTTGTTTTGACAGGTCTTGTTTCGTTCTACTATTTTTTTCGAGCGCGATCCTTGGTTTGTCTCGTGGAGAGAAGAATCAGTAAAGGCTGTAGTTTTTGCGTTCCTCTATGACACAAGAATTGTATTTTTATGAATCATGTCAATCTGTCTGTGACGAAGGCAAGTGTCAAATAGACCGAGAGCAAAAATTTCATTCCTGCTAAAGGAACTACGTAAACGTTGATACAATTGCTGTGGAGAGAACTTTCATCAAGCAGGTAAACATGATGTCCAGGATTTGTATGTTTGCTATGGGTGAATCTGCAGTCTCGTCGCAGCGATCTTGATGATCTGATACTTGTCATGCAGTTGATGCAATTTGAGAGCTTGACAACGATGTACATGTAATGAAGCAAATGGAGCTCAGAAACGGGAGCCATCCGTGAAGAAGTTGGACAAGAAGAAGCCGAGATCTTCCAAGCTCAGCAGCTCGGCAGCAGCAAAGGAAGGAGAGAGTCACAAAGAAAGAGAAGGCAAGGAAGGAACAGGATAACAACGAGCAGGGAGAGGAGGAAGGAAAGCAAGGTGAGGAGGGGAGGAGGGGAGTTTCAAGCTTGAGAAAACAAGGAAGAGGAAGAAAGAGGCCACTCATGAGTTTGTTTCATTGGATGAGACGTCCACGGTTCGAATCACATGGTTGTCTTCTTTCTCTTTTAAAATCTTCAAAGAGAATTTAGGGGTTTTAGCGCAGGGAGCTCGGGCAAGGGAATGCATGAGCTATGTGATCTTCATCGGCTCGATTGGTCGCGCTTTAGATCATGAGCTACATTCATGAGGTATGGATCTTTATTGGGCTCGATCGCTTGCATTTTAGACCACGAGCTACATTCACAATCGCTACGCTTGCGAATTTGCAGAGAATATTGAGGTGTCCAGTGTGCCATTCTTGCATTCCCCGGAATTCTTTCCGGGAGTGAGATCTTCGGTTCTTATTTTCCTTTCTATCATATGACATAGCCACGTGGACCGTGACTATGCCACGTGGATGTCATACGTGGCAGTGTTTAAATCTTTTTGGCGGGATGGTGCAAGACGGCTGGGCGCTTGCTTGCTTCTGTGATGCGCCTGATGTCCCTATCGTGCTCAAGGTAATACTGTCAATGCTAGTGAAGGAAATCCCCTAACAGCAGATCTCTGGTGCTTTGTCATGCAGGGGCAGAGCCTGCCTTTCATGGGAAGTGAGGACTATCTGATTAATCCTCTCGTCAGGCCGAGGGAAGGAATCCCCGCTCAGTTCCAGGTGTTGTTGCTCCCCAGCTTCAAATTTCAATTGCAGGTTTGTTGCTTTAGCTTTATCACAGGACGAGGTTCTAAGTCTTTTTTGGTTCTTTGTTCCAGGAATTATACAACATCAGTGCTTGTGGAGATAACGTTCCCTTGGATGGAGCTCAGTCCCTGCTGCTCCCCTGCTTCAAATGGCAATCTCAGGTTTGCTGCTTTATAGGTTCTAAGTCATTTTTATTTTTTCTTCCAGGAATTCTCCAACATCAATGCTCGTGGAGATGACATTCCCTTGGATGGCGCTCAGTTCCTGCTGCTCCTCAGCTTCAAATGGCAGTCACAGGTTTGTTGCTTTCCATAAGCTTAGGTTCAACACAGAACGAGGTTCTAAGTTTTTTTATTCTTTGTTCCAGAAATTTTACAACATCAGTGGTCGTATACTCGGAGGTAATGTTCCCTTAGATGGAACTCGAGCTGCTACAAGCATAGTTCAAGAGTCAGATGCTTTGCTCATCATTGGCTCGACTGTAATGGTTTTACCAGCCTTTCGTCTTGTGAGGTAAGTGGTAGTGTGACTTTTCTTTGACTTGCGTTTGAATCGTTTCCCTCTGTTGCCAGTGCCACTCATAAGGGTAAAACTCGAGCCGACGAGATTGCTTGCTTTGAGATCGGGAGCTGTGTTGGTGAAGTGAGTTTGTCAATGGAACTCTCAAGTCTTGTGAGCATACATCCAATTGGCTGCTGCCCCCACAAAGGCGAGTGCATAGATTCTGAAACTCGCTATAATGTAGGTCTTATAACGTGTGTTTTTTTTATCGTGCAGGATTCAAGCCCCTCCTTGAGGAGGTGGAGAGATGTGTTCTGGGGCACAAGATCATATCCATCTCTATTCCAAGCCAGCAAAGTCAGCTCATAGAGCATGGTGAGCATTCATTTTACTCCCCTCAGAAAGCAAGATTTTCTGGTTCTATTATTTGTTTCTTGTGTAGGAACTATTGGGCTAGCACTACTTTGCAAGCAAGGATTCTTGGTTCTCTTTGATTCCTTGACAACTGCAACTGAAGGTGATGGGAGTGTTGTTGAGATGAGAAGGAACGTGCAGAAGATTGTCGAAGTAAGAAGTGAGCCAAGACTTCGAGTTGGCTTTGCTGGGGAAGTAGCTGCGTGTTGTCAACTCATCAAGCTTTTACAAGTGAAGCTGAGCAAGAAGGAGTTGACACATCATAATGCCGTCAAGTTCATGATGAAGAAAGCAAACCTATTCTCAAGCACAGATGGCAACTTCAGTGCATCTTTCTTTGTCTACGATGAGAACACACTGGTGATGATCAAGGATGAAGGCAACGGATTTAAGACAACAGCGCTTACGAAGGAGCAATCAGTGTTGGTCATTGGTTCCGGAGCACGACAAGCACGAATGATTCTTGCACAGCCGGTTCGAGGACAGAACCATGGGGAAGCAGCAAGTGTGGGAGAAGCTCTTTCTTTGGGTCTCGACGCCTTTGCTCAAGCTTGTGTTGAGAATCCGGAATGTGGAGGGGATTTGTGTGTCATTGACGGCAGCAGAAACATCGACTTTGGTGGAATGGAGTTCAAGAAGGCACTTGCAAGTGCAAAGTCTAACTTTTCCTTCCAGTATGCAAGGCGAGGAGTGCAAAGAAACGCACTGAACATTAAGATTGCATTGTTTGACAAACAGGTAATCCTCTCATCTTTAGCTCTGTCTGCTCTAGTTTTTTACTCGTCTTCTAGGAGGAAGCTGCTTCGGCCAGGGATTCTTCTGCAGAAAAGGTCCAGAGCGTCAAAGAACAAGAAAAGGTTTTCAATCCTTTTGCTATGGTTTGCTTTAGCTCAAAACCAATGTACAGGAACACAACCGAGGTGGTGCCACTCATTGCTTCCAAGAGTTCAAGCAGCATCAGAGGTAAGCTTGTTCACTGTAGATTTCAGAACTTCAACATTCTTACAGGAGCATCACCAGCAGCCAAAACATCGACTCACGTGAATTGAAATCTATCAAAACTGTGGATGTGCTAGTAATGGTGTGTTATCCTTTTCCTTTACTTTGTTGTAGCTCAGGATCAATGTATAGGTTCAAAACCGAGGAGTCTATACGCTCGCCACTCATCGCTTCCAAGTCAATTACAAAACAAGGGAGTTCAGCAAGCACCAGAGGTAAGCTCGTTCATAGATTCAAGGAATTCTTACCACAATACATTCTTACAGGATCATCTGGTTCTCAAAAAAGTGTTGCATGATTGTCTGGTTCTAGTGAGGGTAAGTCTCAATCTCTAACTCCAGCAGCTACACTAACATCCTTTGTCATACTACAAGCAGTGAAAAGGCTACGTGTTGGAACTGTATCTTCGAAGCATTAAGGTCTATTGAAAGTAAAATGGATGGAAGGTATGATGGATTGGAAATGTCAGATCGCAGTTAGAAGAAGAGGAACATAACCGTTAGTTCACTGAGAAGAAGAAGATAAGTGTTAGTTAAGCTAGAAGAAGAGGAAGATAACCATTAGTTCCTCAGTTGCTTCTTTGTTTGTATTTTTTACTGTCGGGTAAAGCTTTTGAGATATTTGCTTGGCCAGAGGGTCAAAATTATGATCTCACAATTTTCTATGCCCAACTGCATGGGATGGATGACCCACGCACTCGGCTGCGAGATGGAAGAAGGGTCATAGGGAAATGAATTCCTCTCTCGATTGCAGCTGTTCTTGAAACTAGATATTGTTGACAGGAAGCAATGGCAGCAGTTCTCTACGACTGGAGTGCCGCATCACCGTCGGATTTGAAGGTAACAATCCTTTGGTCACCATCCAAAGCTTGGAGCGTTGGCAAGTATACTCGAGCGGCATGAGCATTGGGCATTCAGCAAATTGATGCTATCCTCGGATCTTTGAGATGTATCTCAAGTGTGGGAGAAGCACTGGAAGAAATGGTACCAAGTGTGGTATGGCCAAGGTGGTGCAAAACCAACAAGTAGCTGGGAACAAGGTAGGAATCTTTCCCTCATGAACTAGGAACTTCGATAGAGAAAATGAAAGAGAACTTGCTGCGACAGCTTTTAGCGCTAGGCCACAGAGACAATGGTCTCTGGAGGAAGAGTTGACATGAATGTCCAGCATTCCAAATTTTATTGCAAAGTGTATTATTTTAAGAGAAACTTTTCTAACAAGCTTTCAGGATCTTGTCTCCCCCTCAGTGGAGTGTGGAGGACCCGACCTCATTTAAGTCTTTGATCATTGGAAACTTCACCTGGAAATTTGAAAAAGGAAATAGAAAAAGGAAATAGAAAAAGGAACAAAATATGTTCTGGTTAATTTATGTAATAAAATTAATCTTGTGTTTATAAATTAGAAACTGTGAGGGCCAAGTGTACAGCTACGATGCTGTATATTAATATTAGCGTAGTGGGATTTTGGTAGCCGTCGGATTGGTTTCAATCTGGACCACTCGCTCCTGTATATAAGTTAGGGTTTTTGGGCTAATGGATATGCACATTTCTGTATTCCCTTTTTATATTCCATGCACTCACATTGGTGGAGGTGAGGGGCACCTTTGATTGTCCCTGGGGAGTGCTTGGATTTAGGATTTTGGTTTAGATTTAGCTTTTGTATTGTCTAGATCTAGCTTTTTCCATTTCCTTTCTTTTGTTCTTTCCTTTCAGGATTTTGGTTTAGATTTAGCTTTTTGCATTGTCTAGATTTACCATTTCCTTCCAGCTTTTTGTCATTTCTCTTCTTTTGCTTTTTCTTTTTCGTTCATCTTCATGGCCGATCTGCAATCTCCTCCTTTGACTCTAGAGCAGCAGTTGGTTCAATTGCTTGATGCTATGCGCTTGCAATTGAACAACCAAACTCAATTGATGGTGGCATTCACGGCACGTGGTCCAACTCCTCCTGCTCTTGGTGCCAATCCTCGCGTTCGGCCGGAGTTCTTTCGTGGGAATCCTGGGGATGATGTGTACCATTGGTTCGATCACTTCATGGTGATTACTACATATCATTCTTGGGATGATGCTCGACGTTTGCGTGAGTTTCCCACGTGTCTCCAAGGGACGGCGTTGCAGTGGTACAATGGATTGAGTGCGGCCACTCGTGGGGATTGGAGTGTTCTTCCAGATATCTTCAAACGCGCCTTCAGACATGCCGACGACGGTGACGATGCCTTCCAAAAATTGCATCGTCTTCGCCAAGGGCCATCTGAGTCGGTGATGCAATTTGGCATTCGTTTCCGAAGTCTTTTGCTTCGTGCGGAGCCTAATATGTCGGAGCGGATCAAGCTAGGAATGTTGTGGCCAGCACTTCGTCAAGATCTTGTTGGCCTTGTGCATGCACTTGCTCCTGCCACCCTTGACGATGCTCTTCGCTTGGCACAACGTTATGAGACGTCGCCTCTTCCACTTCTTGCTACACGTCCTTCAGCTCCACTTTCTATGAGTGATGGTCCTGTTCCAATGGAGGTTGATGCTGCTGCTACTCGAGTCCAAGGACAAGGGCGAGGACGTGGTCATGGCCATGATGTTCATTGCTGGGCGTGTGATGAAGTTGGTCATACTTATCGGTGTTGTCGGCGCTTTCCGGATTGGCGACCTCCATTTCCTGGGTGGAGACCTTGGCGTCAGCAACGTCCCGTTGGTGCTGCTGCGGTGGAAGGTTTGGATACCGAGGTGCATTCGGGAAACGAGGAGTCGCGCGAGTAATGGAGGGACCTTGCACGAATAAGTTAGTGACCCCTCCATCTTTCTTTCGGGAGTATCATCAAGGGGTTCACTTGGCACCAGTTCATCCAATGTTTACTTTCCAAGCTCGTTTTTATAACAAGAGGTCTCCTATTCTTCTCTCCGTGTTGGTTGATACAAGTTCGAGTTTATCTTCTATTGCTCGACCTGTTGCCACACGTTGTCGTCTACACTTGCGTCGTGCGGTGGATCCAGTTTTCATTCTTTATGGCAACGGCCGTGCACATGCATGTGCACGAGATGAGGCGGACCTGGTTGTGCGTGTGGGCGATCTCAAGCTTGAGTTGCAGTCGTTGCGGGTGGTGCCGAGTCAAGCTTTTGACCTCATTCTTGGTATGGATTGGTTGCAGTGCAATCATGCCAAATATGACTTTGAGGCTTCTCCCCCTTGTCTCATAGTTCCTTATGTTTCATCCATTCCTCTCACTTCCGTACTTCTTCGTCCCTCTACTTCTACCTCTGCTTCCATTACTGTTGTTCCCCCACTATTTCCTCTTATGTTTCCATCTTGTTCTGCTCTTCCCTTTTCCGATCCCTCCGATGATCTTTGTGTTGCAGCTGTTGACCAGCTCATGAAGGAGTATTCTGATCTCTTTGAATTTGACCTATCGTCTGGGGCCAAGATTGCCACACGTCATCCCATTCCAACCGGGGATGTTCGTCCAATCAAGGTTCCTGTTCGTTGTTGGTCACCCAAGGAGATCAAGATTTTACGTGCAAACATCAGGGAGATGTTGGAGAAGGGTGTTATTCGGAAGTCGCGGAGTCCTTGGGTATGTGAACCTCATCTTGTGACAAAGCTTGATGGGAGTATTCGTTTCTGCATCGACTATCGTCCGTTAAATGAAGTGACGATCCCGGACGTGTACACTCTTCCTCACACTGCTAATCTCTGGGGCAAAGTCGTTGGTTCACCAAGCTAGATCTTGCTTCTGGGTATTGGCAAGTACCGATGGCCGAAGAAGATATTCCTAAGACTGCTTTTCGTACACCATTTGGTTTGTACGAGTTCTTGGTGATGCCGTTTGGTTTGAATAATGCTCCAGTAACTTTTCAGCGGATGATGGACGAGGTTCTTTGCGATATGCCGGAGGTGACGATTGATTTCATTGGTGATGTCTTGATCCACTCGGAGGGGACGTGGGAGGAGCACATTCGTGATGTTTGTAAAGTGTTGGATTGGCTATGCGATGTTGGTTTAAAGTTGAAGCGGTCAAAGTGTGTGTTTGGGTCCAAGGACACAACTTATCTTGGGTACCGTATTTCTCGTGAGGGTTTGCAAGTTGATCCTGACAAACTTGTGGCTGTTCTAAAGTTCCTTACTTTGAAGTGTGTGAATGATGTGCAGCGCTTTTTGGGTACTAAGGTGCAGTATCTCAGTCGTTTTGTGGATCATCTTTCCGATCGCACTACACCATTGCGAGCGTTGCTGAAGTCATCAACGTCATCTTTCATCTGGTCTCCGGATTGTGAGCAGGCGTTCGTGAATCTCAAAGAGCTATTGATGACTCCTCCAGTTTTGGCATATCCTGACTACACTCGACCTTTTATTTTGCGCGTGGATGCTTCTGACATTGGTTTTGGAGGTGTGTTGATGCAAAAGAGCTCGAGTGTGCCTGGTCAGTGCCATCCCTTGCATACATAAGCCGTACATTACAACCAGCGGAGATGAACTACTCCACGACGGAGAAGGAGTGTTTAGCAGCAGTCTGGGGTTTCGAGAAACTTCATGCATATCTACATGGTTCTTGGACATTACTTGAAGGTGACCATGCTGCTGTTACTTCATTATTGAAGCGGAAGAACCTGGTTGGTCGTACGGCTCGATGGGCTTTGAAGCTTCAGATATATGATTTCGATGTTGTTCATCGTCCAGGGAGTTCTATGGTTGATGCTGATGCCCTTTCTCGAGCTCCTCTTCCTTCTCCACTCACTTCTCATGTTTCTGACGAACCTGTTGTTCTAGCATCTGTGGATTTTCTAGATGAGGATTTTGTGCCATCGGCGGTTGCTGTCCTTGACGTTCAGTGTCCACAGGGCGTAGAGCAAGATCTACCTTTTCTTGATGAGGTTTGTGCGGCTCAAAAGATTGAGCCGTGGATTCGAAGGCTTCGAGATGGGTTTGAGAATCCTGCATCACTTGCTGATGACTTGCCTTTCCGGCATTTACATTCTCAATATCGCCTTGAAGATGGCCTTCTTTATTTTGTGGGGACGGATCCTGATGATCATTTACGGCTGGTGGTGCCTTCAGTGTTTATTCCGCGGTTTCTCCATGCCTACCATGATTCTCCTGTTCTAGGTGGGCATATGGGACACTGTCGTGTCACCGAGAAGCTGCGCAGGTCTTTCTATTGGCCAGAGATGCGATGTGATATTATCCGGTATGTGCGTACTTGCGTTTGGTGCCAAGCTCGTAATACTCCTCCTTGTGTGCTGCGGAAGGACGGTTGGAGTCAATTGCAGTTTCCTGTCCGTTTGAGTTGGTGGCATTTGATCTTATGGGACCTTTTCCACGATCGACTGCTGGCAATGAGTATGTTATTATTGTTTCTGACTACTTGACTCGTTGGGTGGAAGTTGGTGCTCTTGCTAGTGCCTCTGCAACTGCTGTTGGATACTTCCTCCTCAATCGAGTGGTGTTCCAGCATTCTTGTCCAGAGCGGATTCTTTCGGATAATGGTCCTGCATTTATGGCTGAGGTATTTCATGTTTTGATATCTCGG